AGGTACAAAGAAAAAGAAGCCGTTCCACCGTCCAAAAAACAGAGTTCACGAACACCCCCAGAATGAAGAAGGGAGAAGGACGACGTATGTGGAAAAGACCGGGAGAAAGGACGGCAACTATAACCCGGCTGTGAAACGGAAGATTGACTCATCCGACAGAACTCTCCGCAGCAAAAGTCGCCGAACTGCGGAAGGGCCATCAGCGGCGGAGGAAAAAGTACAAAGAAAATTTGAACGGCCAACAACGAGGTCCAAGCAGGATCACGACAGAAGTTTCCCGGTTCCACCAAGACCAGCTGCCTTCAAACGGCCAAGACCACAAGCAGAGGAACAGAAGGAAGATGTTCAAGGGTGGCCGTAGTGGTGAAAAACGGAAGCTTCCAGAGGAAAGCACTGAAGGGCGAGCCCGTACAAGAAGGAGGATCAACCAAGCTACGGTCTGCAGCACCTTTAAAGACTGGGCCCAGAAAAGGATGTCTGAATATTACAAAGATAAGTAAAATTTTGTGTTACTTTACAAACTTAAGTTAATCTTTCATTCTTACTGCAAGTGGCAGATTTCAAGAAGTTTTACCTCATGCGAGGTCTACCTTTATCGCCAAAAGGGCGAGAAATGAGTTGTGACCGATTTTCTTATTATGTTTTTCAATTACTCGCGCGTAAAACTAAAGTTGATGTATAATAGCGTTGTGTAAAGACTTAAATATTGTAAAAAGTTATTGTATAAATTTTATTTAAAACATTCTAGCAAGAAAGAAGTTTTAGTCTGAAAGACTTTTTGAAATGTAGTATTATTTCAATGTAGAAAGAATTGGCACTTGCTTTGAAAAGAATAGAAGTTAACAATGTACTACTAATGTATGTTTTCAAATGTGTAAAATTAACGGCATCTTGATATGTTCTTGTATACATGTGAACTGTTATTTTGAATGTTTAGAAATACCGTGATATGGTAAAAGTGAAAGTAATGTTAAAAATTTGTTATTCGTGTGACTGTAAAGATTAAATCATGGTGAATATGTGTTAAAGGTTGAATGATGTAGTTAGGCTCTCTGACGCTACACTTTAGAGTTAGCCACTTTCAGAATAGTACCTCAGGGTCTAGAGTTGAAATTAGGGTGTGTTAAGAGGTCTCGTATGTTGAATTTTAACACGTTAGTGTTTTGATTGTAGGAGGAAGTGTTGAACACATAGACAGAAACACATTCGTGTTTGGTGTTTTTTACAACACATGTCAGAGAGCACGGGGAGAGATAATTAAAATAGTCATGAATGAAATAAGAATGTTAAGAAAAGTATATTCTATATGTTATTATTTGCAATGTCATTCTGTAACATTTCATTAAACTAGTTTTCCTTCCAGATCTCTGGAAGGAACCAGAATTGAATAAAGCTCCTGTTTTGATGCAGTACAGATGAAAAAGAAAAAAGATTGTTGTATATTCCGGGAGCTGCTATTGTAACAAATTTCTTTCTTTCAAAATTTTCTAGTTTCTAGCTAAGTTATTTGTAAAAGTTTGGCCTCGCGTTAGTTTCTAGAGCTAAAAGTTTTCAACAAGGTCGTTTTAGACCTCAGTTTCAAACTAATTAACTCTGGCGGGAAGTATGTAAGGATCTTAAGTTTTACTAACGTTTATTTTATTTTAAATCTTTACTATCACTTCTTATTTTCTACTTCCGGCCAGAATTATAAGCGTGAAGGAGTTTATGCAAAGTTGTCTGGCGAACGCCAAGTATTTAAGTGTGGCCTTTTTGCCAAGCAGAGAGAGGAAGCCGTGAGTTCGAAGCAGGCCGCTTACCTTAGAAGTTACGCAGTTGCTACTTTGCCTTCCAGGCCAGAGGTTTTAATCCTCTTGATAAATTAAACGTATTGTAGTGTTCACAGTCTCTGTGCTACATACGCTTCCTGTTATTATAAGGCCAATCTTATTCTAAAGTTAAATTAGAGTTTAGTTTTATTTTGATATCTTTTAAGTTAGACCCCGAGTGGAGGGTCATTGTATTCCGAAGTACGGAAGTCATTGTATATAAAGAAAAAAAAAATAAAGGGTTTTGTATACCCTTCGTCTGTATCCTGTCTACTTACTACAATTAGTGAACATAGCTTTAGTAAGCTCTCTGTTCTAGTCAGGTCATTGTATGTTTCCGAAGAAGGTTAGAAGAAACATTGAACCTGATAACTTTAGCAATTTTAAATATTTTGAATTGTTAAATAAAAATTACGTGATACATTAAAGAAGTAAAACCCTCACAAGCTTCTTCAAATCTTTCGGTGATTTTTTTGCGCTATTGTTCTCCTGAAGTACACAGAGATCTGTTTTAGCTAAAAAAGTCATCAGAGAAGATCTGCGGAGACCCGCCGGCTTCGTCCAATCCTTGGGAATAGCGGCTTATCGAGAAAGCGCAGTTCCTTGTTGTTCCCTTTAGAAAATTTTCATAAAAATTCTATATTCTTGCAGAAATTTCGCCGCAGCTTCTTCCACTGTTGGAAAATTCCAGAAGCTCATATTTTAAAACTAAGTTTGTGACCAAAAATATTAAGATTTGTTTATAAAAACTGTTGGAATTTGCAATACAACTGTAGAGACATTTTCGAAGCAGGAGAGATGAAAAATGAGCAGTGCCTTCGCCGGGACTTGAACCACTGACCTCTCGAATGCTCGTCGAGCGTGCTGACCACTACACCACGAAGGCATGCTAAGAAGGCGTTAGAAATACTTTATATACTCACCCCTTTAATGGATGACTGGGGATTAGGGGACCCAATCGCCAAATCCTGGTGGCGGAGAATCATCATCCACCACCTTTTTTAGTTCGGGCGCCACTGTAAAGTTATTAGAATTTTTCGGAAACAGGAGATAAGAAAAATGAGGAATGCCCTCACCGGGACTCGAATTACGACCTCACTTCGAGCGCGTTGACCACTACACCACGAAAGCATGCTAAGAAGGCTCCCCTTTTAAAAGGCTCCCCCTTTTGAAGAGCTTCCGCTTTTTATGTACTCCCCCTTTTAAAGGGCAACTGCCGATTAGGTGCCCCAATCACCAAATCCTGGGAATGGAGAATCATCCACCACCTTTCTTAGTTGGGGTGCCACTCTAGAGACATTAGTATTTTTCGAAGCAGGAGAGAAGAATAATTAGCAGTGCTCGAACCACTGACCTCTCGAATGCGCGTCGAGCGTGCTGACCACTACACCACGAAGGCATACTAGGAAGGCGGAAAAAATGCCTTATACAGCAATACATTTAAAAAAATGCTTACAAAAATGAGGGCCTTGCTTGACTGAAAGTTTGTTAAGAGCATGGTTGTCCCAAAAATGGTTAATAGCATAGTTGGCAGAGTTGACACATTCTGAAAAACCTGGCGACTTCTATTAAGTTCGTTTCGTTAATACGTAAGTACCAAAAAACTTTTATTGCAATTTCAAATTTATTGGCATTCTTTCTTCATGCCCACCTTCGCAGAGAATATCGCACTGCGTGCGGGAGACCGTTGACAACAATCACGAACGTTAACATCGCAGGAAGAATCTGTATAAGTTAGCGTTTTATGACATCTTTCACCTCTGACATATCTCGTGGATTTGATGTGTGGAGGATCGAGGTGGCCACGGTACTGCACCTTTACGTAAGATGCCTCTATTTTTAGACCTTGCACAGGTTGAAGACGTGCGATTCGAATGAAAGCTTTTTCTTAATCTCATCTCTTGTTTTGTTCATTGGTCTTTTATAACGCTCGCCTTTACAAAGGTTTCAAGCCGGTAATTCTCGTAATATATGTATCGTTCTAACTCCATTTATGGTTATTTATGGTTTCGTAGCGTGAGAGTTACAAATTCGCATATCCTGTTCTCTGTATGAGTTAATAGAGAATAATAACGATTGAAACACATTTGAATTCATCGATTACGATTGAAAGGTATTTGAATTGATCGATTACGATTGAAAGATATTTGAATTTCTATAGCGAGAGGATTCATAACACTGCGAAAACATGTATGAAATATTGAACACATACATACATTCACCAAAAAATATACGAGTTTTGTTCAAATATTCTTCACCCTAGAGAGAATTTTCTTCGTTTGAGCCGAACTAACTTCTGATTAGATTAGTACCTGAATATCTAAGTAATTCTAGAATTAAATGAAGTTTCAGTTTTAGTATTCTTTTAATATTACGACCTTTTAAAGTGGACATAGCTCAGTTTTAAAAGGTAAGGATTGGAAATTGAAAATTAAATGACAGCAGTTATAAAGCTAGTAATTTGCAATTTGAGAGCTAAACTGTTTTAAACGTTATTGCTTCCGCTTCAATTTGGATTGTTTTATAATTACACATATTTCAGATGAAAATTTTTATTCAAATCCTTCCGCAGTCCTTTTGTCTCTTATAAATTTTTATTAATATGCCGTACAATTTTCAGAAAAAATTGTCAGGAATAATACTGAATGAATACTGTCAATTATAAAATGTTAGGGAAAATTGTCATTAATAACACTGAAGGAATACTGTCAATTATAACATGTTAGGAAAAATTGTCATTAATAACACTGTAAAACTTCTGTAACAATTATATTGTAAGAATTGTCAGGAAAAATATTAGTAATAATAGTGTAAGATTACTGTTAATAATAATATTGTAAGAGTTTGCAGGAAAAAATTATCAGTAGTAATACTGTAAGGATACTGTCAGTAATAATATGTAAGCATTGTCAGAAAACGTATCAGTAAAAGTAGTGTAAGATAATGTCAGTAATAATATTATAAGAATTGCCATAAAATTGTCAGTAATATACTGTAAGAGGACTGTCAGTAATAATATTGCATGAATTGTCAGAAAATTTGGCAGTAATAATACAGTAAGAATTGTCAGAAAAATTGTGAGTGACGATACCGTAAGTAAACTGTCAGTAATAATATTGTCAGAAAAAATTGTGAGTAATAATATTGTCAGAAAAAATTGTGAGTAATAATACTGTAAGAATAAATACTTACATGCATTCATAAGTATTTCCAATTATATTGCATTTTCCAGCGTTACAGTCGTCAGGAAGACATATCTCTAAAATACAAAAAAATTCAAACTAACTTTCATTAGAAAAGATTAAATAAAAACTGTTTTTTTTTCTTATCCTGATATGAAATTTAAATATATGCCAAAAGAATGAAAATAAAAGATACTTTGCTAGATTTTTCAGAATGCGCCAAACTCTGGCAAGCGCGTAACTGTTGTTCTGACAACCATGCTCCTAATAAGTCGCTAGTCAAGCAACGTCGCTATTTTCGTATAGCGTTCTTTTTTGTTGTATTCAAAGTTCCAGCAGTTTTTATAAACAGATCGTGATATTTTTTCTCCTTAGTTTTAAAGTATGAGTTTGTGGAATTTACCAACAAGGCAAGAAACTGCAGTAATACAGAATCTTGGTCAAAGTTTTCTAAAAGGATTGAATTGGATTGATTTATTTAATTACGGCAAAGCAGACGAGGGCTATCTGCTTAAAGGAGGGGATGCATTCGCGGAGGACTTTCTAAGGGAACCTGGCTCGTATACACGTTACACATGGGGAAAACCACGAAAAAGCCCATGCAGCCAGCCCGTTCCCGGGATTCGAACCGAAGGAAATGCGTCTTCTAGATAACCGCTGTTGCCAAGGTTTGCACGAAGCGGTGTCTCCGCAATTCTTTGATGTACTTTTAAGCCAAAACGTGTGTACCTAGAAAGGAGAACAGCGCAAAAAACTGAGATAAGATTTGAAGAAATTTTTTTTCCAATGACGGGCACTTGCCTATAACGGCATTGGCCGCTCCTAAGTGGTGGCTATTTTATTGTGGAGGCACCTAATAGGCGGCCAGCATTACCTCCTATGAAGCGCCAGACAATTTTAAATCCATGCCATCTCCGGGATTCGAACCCGAGCCCTTCGGTATCGCATTAATGCTCTCCTAGCCACTATACCGTCTGGGCGGCTTTGAAGAACAATGTTATTAGGAGATAGTATTTTATACCTAACATAAACATAAGGTATAGAACAAGAAAAAGACATTTTATGAAGACAAAAACGTAAGTGATGCCATTCACAAAAAGGGTAATGTTATTTTTAATGTTTCGCTGGCTTTGCCGCAACATCCTCCCCACCCTGGTCAACCTCCAGGGGAATGACCAGCTGCACAGGTCGGGTAATGGTATGTTCATTGGTGCGCAGAACACAAGTACGGACTTTCTTGTCGCGGCCAAGGATTAGCTCCTCAACACGGGCCCTTTTCCAGGTGTGGCGAGGTCTAACATCTTCTTGTAGTAGGACAATGTCCCCTTTCCGTATTTTATTTGTTTCAGATGGATTCCGCACTTGATGAAATGTACGCAAGTCCATCAAATATTCCTTTTGCCATCTTTTCCAAAAGAAGTTCATCAAATGTTGACGATTCTTCCACATACGATTTAAATTTTCCAAATAAACAATTAGATAGAGCTCCTACTGAGTTTACAAAATCCAATTTTTGAACTTCATGCACATCCTTAGAACTGAAACATTTACTGTCCATAAAATTAGGCATTCCTTTATCAAGTTTGAACTTTCCAAATAAATTGTGTGAAGTTCCTTCTGAAGTCGTAGAATCCAGTTCTTGAATTTCATGCTCTTTAGACGTTTGTTTGTCAAAACTAGACATAAAAGCAACTGAGGTCATTGCGGGTTTTAAGATATTTTTTTCAGATTTTTTTGTATTATTGATTGTAACAGTATCTTGTGAGATAGCACACTTATCAACCGAGTTCTCTACGTCAAGGTCAGAACTTGTACATTTTGAAGAATGCATGTTTTGAAAAAGCGAAACTCTATGCTCATGTTCATTAGTTACAGTCTTTAATTGATCCTGACTTATATTAACATTAGTACAACCAACATGCATATCTTCATGTAATTGTACAAGTTTATTTACTTGACTATTCACAGTAAGACTTTTATTTAAACATGTATTGAAATTACTTTGAAAAGTTTTTGTGCTGCTGCTTTTTTCCTCATTTACGATATGCAGATCACCACTGTTAAGACTAACTGAGGGTATTAAAGCTTTATTAACTGCAGACAAACTATTTGTCCTATCAAGATTCTGAGGTGCAGTAGGATTATATTTCATATCTATATTTTCAACTGAAAGTAATTTTCTTAATTCTGGACTACGTAAAGCTTCTTCTTGGAGTGTCTCTTTAAAAGTTACATCTGGCAATACTTTTGTTAAAATAAAAGGTTAATGAGTGTAGTAGTAGTATTTTCATTGGTATTAACTGAATAATGATGCTGAAATTCTTTACTAGCAGGAACAACAGAATTAGACTAGAAGAGAAACACGCTAATGTGACAGTCAAAATCGTAAAAATAACCTTGTATTTAGCGGAAGTATATTGAAACACTTAATCGATTTCGAGAGCAGCTAAAGGTCCCTCCTCATCAGGAGAAAGAAATACCTAGAAAGAAAAAAAAAATAAAGGGGAAGAAGTCTCAGAAACACGTGGTCCTTATCAGCACTGCATGTGGTTATAACCGGATTTTTAATCAGAGTTACAGTGGCCGCCTACTTTTACTGAGCCAGGCTATCTGATCAAACATGTAACACAAAGTACAAAGAATTAGCGAAGTTAAAAATAGGGAGCGAAGGGCAACTGCACCTTCATGCTCAAAATCTGAACTTCGAATAATGGAAAGACCACTGAACGGATTTTTAAACCCTCTGGTAGTACCAAACGCGAGGAGGTAACGCCATCTATCGGCAAAAATAGTAACTGAATTAAGATAGTAGAATTTTAAATGCATTAGGAAGGACTGGATTGGACTTAAAATCATTAACTAAACATGCTAAATCTTTGTGAATATGAAAAGCCTCAAGAAAATCCAATTCACCTATGGAAGAAGCCTTTTGGATAATTTTTGCAAAAATTAAATGGAAGAAGCCTTTTGGATAATTTTTGCAAAAAAAGGAAGAAGCCTTTTCGATAATTTTTGCAAAAATTATCCAAAAGGCTTCTTCCATAGGTGAATTGCATTTTCTTGAGGCTTTTCATATTCACAAAGATTTAGCATGTTTAGTTAATGATTTTAAGTCCAATCCAATCCTTCCTAATGAATTAAAATTCTCCTTTAAAATTCTACTATTTTAATTCAATTACTATTTTTGCCGATAGATGGCGCTACCTCCTCGCGTTTGGTACTACCAGAGGGTTTAAAAATCCGTTCAGTGGTCTTTCCATTATTCGAAGTTCAGATTTTGAGCGTGAAGTTGCAGTTGCACCTCGCTCCCTATTTTTAACTTCGCTAATTTTCTTGTCCTTTGTGTTACATGTTTGATCAGATAGCCTGGCTCAGTAAAAGTAGGCGGCCACTGTATCTTCTTTCTAGGTATTTCTTTCTCCTGATGAGGAGGGACCTTTAGCTGCCCTCGAAATCGATTGAGTGTTTCAATATACTTACGCTAAATACAAGGTTGTTATTACGATTTTGATTAACAACAGAATTATTTAAAATTTCACGTTTATCTAGGACAGGTTGAATATCATGACCTGAATCTACTAGCAAGACACAGTCATCTTTATCATCTATCAATTCACTTGCTTTGTTAGTTTTTCCTTCTTTCTTTTCCTCGCCACTTGCCTACTACATTTTTAGTAGTACTACATTTTTAACCACTTTTTCCATTACATCATTAAATTCATTTTCTCGAGAACTTGAAATGTTATAATTACCACTACTTTTAGAATTTTCTGCATTCAAAATATTTGGGCATGTACGTAAGATGAATTTATTTATTTGATTAGAATACTCAGCGTCATTTAAATTCATACCTGAGCTATTTAGTTTACTTTTTGCTGGATCACTCAAGTGTGAAGCTGTACACCTCAACTCCGTAGTGCTATTTTCTATAATTATACAATCCAAATTTGACGCTGTTGGTATTTTATCACATGGAACAAACTATTTCTTTTCAAAGTCATTATACTGTTTTCACTGTTCTGAAGCTCATTAACTGTCTTAACTTCTTTTAACAAATCTGATTTAACATCATTGCACACTTTCTCAGCAACAAACTCTTTAGGTGACTTGTTCTCACTTTCTGAAATACATAATTGATTTCTTTGTGAATCACCAGGTTGTGAACTTGTATGCTGAAAATCTGAAGACTCAGGTGATAGAAACACTTCTCAGCAGGCACCCGGGTTAAAAAAGCACATCCTGTGTAGAACTCGTACGAAAAAGACATATCTTTTCTAACCTAACGTGACAAAGTTTGTAATTGAGATAAAAATCTGGTGAAAGTGCAATTTTAGAGTCTTCAGATACAGCAAGCGTTGAGACAGTTCTCCCGTAGATGTCCAGCGGTGTAAATGCAAGTGTTATCAAAACCCTAGGCATGCAGTAATGCATATCTGTTGCTGCGTGCTAGCGTCAGAATGGCGAGAGCTCGTCTGGATTGAAGGCGTTGTCTCTGAAGGTACTTGAGTGAAGAGGGCGGAGCTACTGGTCGTCTTGGCCAATGGCGAATCTGAAAAGGAAGTGTATCCACTTGCAAGACAGGCATTGGTCGCGGGGAGGGGTTAAAAGGAATAACATAATGAACAATATCATTGAATGGTGTGAGTCTATTTTGAAGGTAATAAGAGTTACTTCGATTGAATTAAATTAAGTTAAAGATTAACTGGATGAGATACAAAATAACTGAGTTAATTTAATAGATAACATATTGGTAAAACTTATGTGACAGAACTTTCTACCAGATGGCGACATATATTTTTCAGATTCTATCAGTTGTTAAGAAATTAAACCCTAGATGGCGACAGATATGTAGCGATATAAAGCAGAGTATAACTAAATGAGAATAAATCATTATAAGATGATCAAATGAGATTTTAAGGTAAATTATCAAGGGGAATAGAGAAAACAATCACAGTTTAGGTATTTAAATGTATAAGGACCGGTTTCAGTCGTTTTCTGTTGTCTCTATCCTGGTAATTATACACTGATTTAGCATCATTGCACACTTTTAAAAAACAAAAGTACAAAAATTAAGAAC